GCACCATGTCCTTTGGCCACCTGCCGGGCGCTTTCCTGGAGATTTTCTTCTGGTTTCAGAAAGCAACGTTAGGCAGTAGGCTGGCCTTAAAGGCTTCCCGGCGCCCTAAGCTGCCCTACTGGCCTTAAACGCTTCTCGGCGCCCTAAGCTGCCCTTAAACCCTTCCTGGCAGTAGGCTGGCCTTAAACCCTTCCCGGCGCCCGAAGCTGCCCTTAAACCCTTCCCTGCGCCCTTGGCGGCCCAGCAGCATGTCCTTTGGCCACCTGCCGGGCGCTTTGCTGGAGATTTTCTTCGGGTTTCAGAAAGCAACGTTAGGCAGTAGGCTGGCCTTAAACCCTTCCCGGCGCCCTTGGCGGCCCAGCAGCATGTCCTATAGCCTATGCTTCTTTCGTTTCCTCGCTCTGCCAGCTCTTCTGTGTGCACGGGCGTCCCGCTGGTGTGTTGTGCTGCACGCGGATTCGCCCCGACGCGCTGGCTGACCACACGGCTGCTTGGCACCGCGGGCATGTGTGCATATGTTTTCGCGTTGCGTCGCTGACTTTGCCTTTCTTTACATAGAACTGGCTGCCGCACACGCCGCGATGGTTGATTTGCCCAGACACCACGTTGCTGCTCACTTTGCCATCGCAAAACGGGCACTGGTACACCATCTTCTTTGTCACGACGCATCCATCTTTGACCTGAAATCGGTTACCACAATGCCCGCGGTGATTTACTTGGCCAGAACGCACACTGCTGCTGACGGCAGCCTCACAAAACGGGCACGTGTAGTGGAATGTGTCGTCCGTGTTCTCTTGGGGACCGCACGCGGGAGGCAACTTGTGCGTGGCGCCCGCGCCACTTGTCGCTCGCGCGAGCCCTTCGCGACCTGCCTTTGCGGCCTTCTCCGGTAACCCCATCGCGCCAGGTGGTGCCTGCGCGCTCGTCTTTGCCCTCCGTTCGGTTATTGCCGCTATTTCGCGTCGGACATCCGCTACAATGGATTGTTCGCGCTCCCGCTTGACGCGGTGCCGCAAACGCAGCACGCGTTGGTTCGCTCTGCGAGCGACCCGACAAACCAACGCTAATGACACGCACGTGTTGCATTGTTGCGTGCCATCCTGTGCATGCGCGCGCGCGGCCTGCCACGCAGAGAATTCTGCACGAGGTTTTCG